TATACATAGACATGTACATATACCTATTATATACATTTGCATATTGATATTCATTAATCATATGAATACCAATGTACATATACATATGCATGTACATATTTACATGTACATACACACAGACATCTACATCTATATATACATCTACATGTACATACACAAAAACATGTAAATGCATGGACACTTACATTATCATATGAGGATGCGCAAAATATCACTTGCATATGTATGACTGTTTCAAAACCAATTTCTTTGCCCTCCATGCGGACTCAAAGTTTTTTTCCCACATTGCGGCCGAAAGTTGGCGCAAACGTCACTCCCCCACAGAGGTCAGACCACCTGCAGTGAACAACTACTACTAAGGTGAAACAGCAGCAGGGATCAGACTTCCTGTGCGGAGCACACTGATTAAACCCACAAGGGTCAGACCGCCTGTGGTAACACCACCCCAGCCACCATCATCGGCCATATCCACGATTTTATGATGTCATGATGTTGGCATGCAAGTCGCACCAATAATAGACTGGTGCGACTCACATGCCGACATCATCCTCATGTGCCAGAGCTCCAGTCCAGTGCTGAGGCAATGAGTAGAAAGATCCAGGTGTCAACTGAATCTTTCTGCTCATTGATCCAGGTGTCGAAGGGCGCATTGCCACCAATTGGATGAGGAAAACCTGGGCCGCGTGCAACTTACCGAGGGGGGCGTCGGTAAGTTGGAAGCATCTGGGCATTGGAAACCATACCTTCAAGTCTGACCCCATAGAAAATGATGGCTGGTGGTCTGACCCCACGTGTCAATTTTAGTGCAAAACCCATACAAAATTGGTGAGAAACACATATTTTTCAGTGCAAAACCCTTACAAAACTTGTGAAACCCATACAAAATTGGTGAGAAACACAAATTTTTCGGTGCAAAACCCTTACAAAACTTGTGAATAACACAAATTTCCTGGTGGAAAACCGGCCCCCATTATCAAGCCAAGCCTCCAAAAGTATGATCCTTGTCATCGAGAGCTCACATCGAAATCCACCACCAGATTCATCCCAAACCCATGTTGATATCCAAATTTGAGATCCAAATTCCAGCAGCGTGCAACTGTGTGAGGGACAAGAAAGATTCCGTATCGCTCAGCAGTTGCACACTGCTAGAATTTGAACACCAGTCCAGACCAAGGCGCCAATGCCACATTCGTATCAGTGCAGTGGGTCCTGGCAGAATCTGGCAGAAGCCACTGCACCCAGACGACAAGCGAAATTCCGGCGTAGGTGATGTGGCCAAGCCACTTGGCCACATCACCTGCGCCGGAATTCCGGCGCAGGTGAACTGGCTGGAATTGTCAACCACATCACCTACTCTGGAATCCAAACTCAGCCCCCAACGGCGGCTGAGTTTGGATTCCAGAGTAGGTGATGTGGCTGACAATTCCAGCCAGTTCACCTGCGCCGGAATTCAAACTCAGACGGGGTCAGACCACCGTCTATTAGGTTCCATCTCATGCAGGCTCTCAGCTCGTCATTGTTCAGATCAGCACCTGGGATGTGTTCTAGAAAACACATGCCAGTGTTGGACGGAGCAGCGGCAGCCAACTCGGAGACCTGTGCCCCCGCCAGAGTGGGGGATCTAAGTCTAGTCTATGCATGTCATTTGCTGGAACCAGGCTAAGCTATATCTATTGTAACAGCGCTAGTATCTACGTTGATTGAATTTGTGTGGTAAATCTCGCACTAATTAATCATCCCCGGGGGCTTCGTTGAAGGGTCAGTCATGTGACATGTGCTTATGTGTGTATGCGCAGCAAGCAAACCAGGCGTAGTAAGCAAACCAGGCGTAGTATTCCAGCCCGGCCGGGGCCCATGGGTCTCTCACAGGGCAACTCCGTTGTGGCCGGTGCGGCCGAAAGGGCCCTTTGAGTTGTTCACGCCGACTGCAACGCCCATCAGGTGGGCTATCGGCTATCTTCTTGTTGTTGTCATCTCTCTTTTCCGCTTTGATCGGGACAGCTGTCTTCCGATCTATTCTGCGGGTCACAACAATCGCTTCATGCAATCAACTCCGCCAACTTCAAGAGCTCATAGATATGAGTGATCCAGGAATGGCTGAATAATAGCCCCAAAATGTTCCTACAAAAAGGATTCAGCCATGCCTTCTAATCACATATGAGCGAATGATTCGTCATCACCTGTGTTTGGATGAAATTGACAGTGTGCGTGATGATATGACGAGAAGCGGCCCCAAAACAAGGCCAGGGGTGGGGCGGGGAATCGCCTAAACCAGCTGGACGTACTCCAGCATGTTTTCAACTAACAACCATATTCTTCGCCAAAAGATGGCCAACAAAGATTCGCTGCGGCCAACTCAGGGAATCTCGGTTTGCCATCTGTCAAAGGGAAGGGACGACAATATGTGGGGGTGTGCTGTGCGTGTTTGATCATATTCAGTGCGGGGCCTAGAGAGGAAGCATGTAGTTTCCGTGACAACCAAAATCAGAAAAAAAAACACACCACCGCCTATTGGCGATGGAACCGTATTGAACAAGGTGGGGTGTGAAATGGGTGGTTATTATTGGATTAAGGTTATTTGGCCAGTTGCTACTTCCCACTTAAACAAACGGAGCGGACCTGGCCGGCGGGGCAGGCGGTGCGGGTAGCAGTCTTCTATTTATTCATAACTGGGGTGCCTGATGTGTTCCAGCGACAATGAATTAATTAGTTTCAAACATCCCCATGTAAAACCCCTCAGGCTACACGTGCAAACGGCATATCTTGAACATATTCAAGGTCCCGGCTGAGATCAGATGAATAAAGATCTTGAACATATTATAAATATATATATATCTATCTGTTCAACCTCTCCAGATTTAATCCATGACCAATCGTATTTGACATGGATACAGTCACATCGCCCTCTGTGGCCCACATCTGCCCACCGAATCCCGGCCCACATCAGTTAGGGCTCTGGCTCATGAATGACGAAGTCATAACGGCGGCTAACAAAAGCCAGCGCGAGTGAAGATGTTGAACATTGCACAGCAGCTGCACCCATGCTTGCATTAATGCCAATTTGATATCCAAATTCCAGCAGTGTGCAACTGCGGACGAATTGGTCAGCAGTTGCACACTGCTGGAATTTGAAATCCACAGGTCCTGAGTTGTGCAGGTGCTAGATCCGGTCTGAATTCATACATCATGACACCAAAAAAGGATTTTGGAAACCATCAACATGCATTATTATCGATTCCCCTGTGTCAACCACGTGGGATTTGCAAGCCCACCATCATTCAACGCAACAGTCGTCAACAGTCTGATTGTAAGCTGAGTTTCATCAGAAACTGGAGCGCCAACTGTAGAATATGGACACCTGTGGGCACCAGCAAGATACGCCAACTGTCATATTCTGCTGATGCCCACAGGTGCACATGTCCTGCGGGGTGAAACCGGGGAAGGGTAATTAGTGGTCTAAACATTGTGGCGGCGGTGGGAACAGAGGCATCAAGAAAAATGGTGGTTAAGAAACACTTCATCAGGTTAGCCTGGGGCATACGACTCTTGATCAAAAATCAATGGTGTTTACAGACATTCTCTGTGGTTACCTTGCCCAATGACGTGGTTGGTACCAGTAAAACATTGAGGGCGTCCCCGTCTAGGGTAGATCCATCAAAAGATCCATTCAGAAGAGGTATTTCCTTTCGGTGAAGCAGTGGTTAAAGGGGTCAGACCACCTTCATCTTAAACAATACCATCTAAGATAGAATCGGCGCCCAAAAAATAATATAGCACACACACACAACCCAACCAAAACAGTTGGAGGAAATGCTGCATATGAAAAATCATCAAATCACCTCGGAATGAAAAACAGACCCAGTTCATGATTTTTTGGATCGCCCTGCCCCCCTCCCCAGTTACACTTCTGACTGACAGAGGGTGAGATTGGTTTGTTTGAATTTGTCTTCCTTCCAGGCTGGCTGCCAAACAAAAAAATGGTGAAATTGGCAGCTCTCCCTGGTTTCATTGCTTTGATCGCTCAGCATGCCGGAACCTGTCAAAAAAACTCCAGCATTCCAGGTAGTGAGGTCGAACCACCTCCTCTTCAAAAAATCAAAAATAAACATGGTTTGATGGTTTAGCCTGTTGAAAAATAAAACAATCCAGTCAGTGAAAGGGGTCAGACCACCTCCCTGCTGGCCATGCCAAACAAATTCTACAGTTTGGTTCCACAGCGCTGCCACTGGTGGCAACAAAATAATACACAAAAATCATGTGTTTTACATGGTTTGACTGTTTGATTTGTTGAAAATTGAAAACATTCTAGTCAGCGAGAGGGGTCACCTCCCCTGCTGGCCATGCCGCAGAGAATTCTACAGCTTGGTTCCACAGCGCTGCCACTTGTGGCAACAAAAATAAATCGAAAATAAAACGATCCAGTCACTGAGAGGGGTCAGACCACCTCCCCTGTTCCATGCCAAAGGTTTGAAAAATGTTGTGTTTGACATGGTTTATGGTTTGATGGTTTCATGCCATGCCATGTTGAAAATTCTATTTTTGGTTGCATTACCCCAAGGTTACATTACATTATGTTATCATGTTACCCCTGGTCGCATCCAGCCCAGTCCCAACCATCCCTTCCCAATTCCCTTCCTACTTTTTCCTTGCCCTACCGCACCAATTTGGAAATTTTGCCGAAATTGGTTTTGAGCCATCTAGTTACCAATCCCATCTTACCCATTTTTTTCCCAGCCCCAGTGTGGGTAACTTTGCCCACACTGGTCTTGAGCCAACTACATTACATCCCTTCCTCCCCTTTTTTTTTGGAAAGCTGGGAAGTCAAAGTCTTGAGCCATTTTGAGCCAACGTGTTCTTGAGCCAAATGTGTTTTGCAATCATGGGTTGGCAGATACATCGGAATGGCTGCTGCTCTGGCCGTGGGATCCAAAGTTAGATAACTTCAGGATCGGAGAACACACGTTTTCCGAAGGTGCAGGTGGCCTAAAACCAAAAACGGTCTATCGGTCTACATTTAACATCGGCAAGTCTGGCAGAGTCACTTCCATAAGCGCTGCTGCCTTCAGCAGTAACTCGTGATACAGCATCACGGTACACTGACTGTTGCCATCGGCCAACGTCAATCTGACCGCCAGACGCTTTTCTGTGTTTCCGTCAGGATGTTGCGAACAAGGACTGGCCCTCTTGCATCGCACGCAGGAAGCGATAAGCCACTCATCCGTTTCGCTTTTCACTGACGAGATGCCTAAGATCTGCAAGTCTGAGACCACGAAGACCGTTTCAACCTTGCGAAGTTGACCTGGCACCACAACGCCAATCAAAGCGCTCAGTGTCGAGGGTACTGCATCACAGTGTTCCCAGTCTCTGACAGGAATCTCGGTGAGCATGTGACAATCTTCGGTGTCCGCAAGTTCCTTTTTTCCTCACAGGCGACGAGACAATGTAGATGCTAAACCGGTATCTTCAAATAGCTGGGAACCAGCATCGAAACAAAAGTGCGGTACTTCCAGACGCAACTCTACAGCAGGAGCAAACAAATCTATAGGTCCACCACTCCTCGTGCCGAATGAAGACATTTACGGCGTCTGGATCGACGGAGTCACTGCTGAGCATAGTATAGACCAAAACTGCTTTGTCCTCGGCAACGTGGGAGAATAACGAATCAGCAAAGATTACTATTTCCAAAACCATTCACCTTATTTTTATCCATCAGCAGTCTTGATTTTCGAAAATGGCAATCATTTCTTTTTTTATTTGTTTTTCTTGTTTGGGTAGCTGTCGGTGGATTTTCAAAAGAAGGCTACTATATCCAAAACCAACAATCCCAGAAGCATCTCGAGTAGCATCCGTGTCCTCGGATGGTTTGAAGCAAATATCACCTTTCAGAATGTGTATTAATGAAGTGTACTGAAGATCTCCATCGTCATGAACAGCTTTGACAAACTGAATCGTCCTGCGAACTTGATCTTGCTCCCTTTGCCACACAAGGCTCTTAATCTTTTCCAAGCTGTGTTTTTTTTCTCCAGCAGAATCACCGCAAAGAAACGCGAACTGCAAGTATTGACGCAAGCCCCAGTGATACATGCGCTCGGGACTGTCGGCTGGATTGACCAGCGCAATGGCCATTGGAACTATAATAGATCTCACATCGCACCATTCCTGCGTCACCTTCCAATTCTCTGACATCGCATTCCTCCAGAATGAAAAGTCAGTTGCGTCCTGGAACAAATCATTAGATGTCAATGTATCTGAATCCTCCGTCGCATCTTGCCCATCAGAAGACATGTGCTCGTCAGGCCCCGCGGCATCTGCTCGTTCCCACGACTCCAGAATTTGCAAGACATTGGATGCTGAAGACCACTCAGCCCAGTCCTTGGCTGTGTACTTCATATGTTTGGTGCCTCTTGTGGTGTCTGCACCTTGTTGCAGCCAGTATTTTGTGCATTCCACGCAGTCAGCTGCTGCTGCATACGAAAAGAAATAGTGCGAACGCTCTTGGTCCGAAAGCTCCGCCAGTTCCCGGATACGCTTCTCACGAGAAGCTTTTTTGTCTGCTGTGAGTGAGTGAGTGAGTGCGTGCGTGCGTGCGTGATCGAGTGAGTGAGTGAGTGAGTGAGAGTGAGTGAGTGAGAGTGAGTGAGCGAATGAGAGTAGTGAGGGAGTGGGTGAGTGAGTGAGTGAGTGAGAGGGAGTGAGTGAGTGAGAGGGAGTGAGTGAGAGTGAGAGTGAAAGTGAGAGTGAGAGAGAAAGTGAAAATGAAAGTGAGAGTGAAGGTGAAAGCGCAGCTTGTCCCACGCCTGCCACGCAAAAGCAGCGGAGCCCAAGGAACCAGCGGGACGCCAGGGCGTACATCCGACCCCTTGGCAGTGGAGATTGTCGCACGCCTGCCACGCAAAAGCGGCGGAGGCCAAGGAACGCCAGAGGGACGCCAGGGTGTACATCCGACCCCTTGGCAGTGGAGATTGCCCCACGCCAGGGCATACATCCGACCCCTTGGCAGTGGAAATTGTCCCACGCCTGCCACGCAAAAGCTACGGCGCCAGGGCGTACATCCGACCCCTTGGCAGTGGAGATTGTCCCACGCCTGCCACGCAAAAGCGGCGGAGCCCAAGGAACGCCAGAGGGACGCCAGGGCGTACATCCGACCCCTTGGCAGTGGAGATTGTCCCACGCCTGCTTCGCAAAAGCGACGGAGCCCAAGGAACGCCAGAGGACGCCAGGGCGTACATCCGACCCCTTGGCAGGCAGAGCTTAAGGAACGCCAGAGCAACCAGGGCGTGCATCCGACCCCTTGCCAGTGGGGATTGCCCCACGCCTGCCACGCAAAAGCGGCGGAGCCCAAGGAACGCCAGCCCTTGGCAGTGGAGATTGTCCCACGCCTGCGATGCAAAAGCGGCGGAGCCCAAGGAACGCCAGAGGACGCCAGGGCGTGCATCCGACCCCTTGGCAGTGGAGATTGTCCCACGCCTGCCACGCAAAAGCGACGGAGCCCAAGGAACGCCAGAGGGACGCCAGGGCGTGCATCCGACCCCTTGGTAGTGGAGATTGTCCCACGCCTGCCACCCAAAAGCGGCGGAGCCCAAGGAACGCCAAAGGGACGCCAGGGCATACATCCGACCCCTTGGCAGAGAGTGAGTGAGTGAGTGAGGGTGAGTGTGTGAGTGAGTGTGAGAGAGGGTGAGTGAGTGAGTGAGCGAGTGAGGGTGAGTGAGTGAGTGAGTGAGAGTGAGTGAGAGTGAGTGAGAGTGAGTGAGGGTGAGTGAGTGAGTGTGAGTGAGTGAGAGTGAGTGAGTGAGTGTGAGTGAGTGAGTGAGTGAGAGTGAGTGAGTGTGAGTGAGTGAGTGAGAGTGAGTGAGTGTGAGTGAGAGAGAGAGTGAGAGAGAGTGAGAGAGTGAGAGAGAGAGATAGAGAGAGAGAGAGAGTGAGTGAGTGAGTGAGAGAGAGAGAGAGAGTGAGAGAGAGTGAGAGAGAGTGAGAGAGGGTGAGAGTGAGTGAGTGTGAGTGAGGGAGGAGGACGGGAGGAGGACGGGAGGAGGACGGGAGGAGGACGGGAGGAGGACGGGAGGAGGACGAGGCGGCGGGCGGGCGGATACAGAACTAAAAACAAAACACCACACGTCAATGTCGGGGAACTATGGAAAATCACCATTTTTGATGGGTAAATCCACTATTTCGACTGGGCCATTTTCAATAGCTATTTAACACATTACCAGAGGATACCCGTTGTTTTTGTTGGTCAAGCCTAGTTGATTGAGCCCAATATCTCCCGAATCAAACCACATTGAGCCACAGATGTCTTGTTGGTTGCCAACAAACCTCAGCGGCCTCATCGGCCTCAGCGGCTCCATCGGCCTCATCGGCTTCATCGGCCTCATCGGCCTCATCGGCCTCATCGGCGTCATCGGCTCCAGCGGCTCTATCGGCTCCAGCGGCTCCATCGGCCTCATCGGCCTCAGTGGCGTCATCGGCTCCAGCGGCTCCATCGGCTCCAGCGGCTCCATCGGCCTCATCGGCTCCAGCGGCCTCATCGGCTCCATCGGCCTCATCGGCCTCATCGGCTCCATCGGCCTCAGCGGCTCCAGCGGCCTCATCGGCTCAATTGGCCTGATCGGCGCCAGCGGTTCCAGCGGCTTCATCGGCATGTCTTTCTGGAAAGCCTATTACGGCCCGAAGCAGGCGGAATCAGTTGCGTCCATTTTGCGCCTATGGTTTGCTTCGCTGCCTGTTGATTGGTATTGATCCATAGCCTCTTGGCTTGCGATATAGCCTCCAAGTGTTGAACGTGCGGGTTACCCCCCCCACACACCAGAAATATTTCAGCTAAAAATTTCTGGTTTATAATGGTCTCTCCAGGGCCTGGTTGAATTCAAGGCTGAACGTCAAGCTCTGAAACATGTTTGGCAAGTTCACTCTCTTATTTATTTTCTTGGAAACTGGCAGTTACCATTTACATCCATTTACCTAATTGTGTGGCTTGCGCGTCGGCCCTACCCGCGTAAGGACTAAAAAATGATTTTTTTAGGGGGGGACCCTGCTAGAACTGTAAAATACCATGGTTTTGCAACTACCCCCCCTCAAAAATTTCACCCTTGTATTTCGGGGTAGGAAACATAAAGGGGCTCCTCGAGCATTGGCAATGGATTTTTTTAGGGGGGGACCCTGCTAGAACTGTAAAATACCATGGTTTTGCAACTACCCCCCCTCAAAAATTTCACCGTTGCATTTTTCTATGTGTAATTATGTGTATATAATATATATATATATATATATATCTATCTATATATGAATGTATGAAAGTATGAATGTATGAAAGTATGAATGTATGAATGTATGTATGTACGTTATGAAAGGGTGTGCCATACCATCTCTGGGCTAAAAATGTTGCATCCGGAGGACCCCCCCCCACATCTTTTCGAAGCCCAAAAAACATGTGGGGGGGAGGTATATTTCATGTGGTCAGGTGAAATATTTCTCAGAAATTTCTTGCCTTACCCCCCCCCCCAAATATTCCAGGGTTAAAGGGTGGGGGATATATATATATATACTAAACAATTATTAGTACCTAATACTATATTATAGTTACTAGATACTATATATACTAAAAATAGATACCAAACAATTCCCGTTTTCCTTCAACGTTTCAACGGCGGAACACGCCCCGAGTCTCGGCTTTCTTGGTCTTGGCGCTGCGCCGCTGCTCACCGAAGATGGTCCGATCATTCAGGCTGGGCAGTTGGGACATCCTCGGTGACGCTGCTCTCCCTGAAATACCCGGGAATCAAACGTGGAAAATCCATAAAAATCTCTGAAAATTCATGAAAATCACCTATAAATATCTATATCAATGGAGTTTTGAATGGGAAAACCCTGTGAAATCCAGTTTTTTATGATGGAGATATTCTAAGGATGGTGGCAATGGTGGCAATCCCCTACAAAGTTGGGGCCCCGTAATTCGATAGCTAAATTGGTGAACATAACTCCAATGTTTTAGTATGGTTGATGATACTTATTACTATACCCAGATGCTCCATGGTGCTAGTATATTCACCTACAAAACTGGCTCATAAAAATGGGGTAAATGTAGGTAAATATTCCAGCACCATGGAGCGTCTGGGATACCCTAAAAGGCCTAAGGCCGTACTTTTTGAGTCCTTGCCGCTTTCGTGGCACAAAAAAGGATCATCGCTGAGAAACCATAGCAATGCCGAAGTTCTACGGCCGAGGGTTTATAGCAACGAATGTTTGGCTCCCATGATCCATGTCAAAAGATCTTAAGAGATATCTTCAAATCATGCACGATCATGTGGATGGGAAATTCTTGGTATCCTTGGTTCCCATAGTGGATACCCATAGCTCCTTAGCTCCCTCCACTCAATCAGATGGCCCAACATTTAAAAAAAAACATGTGATGAAGGAAAATTCAATTACGATTACTCACGATTTACTTACGATTTTAGAGCCGCTATATGTACCTTTCAGGTCCTTTACGTACCTTTTAGGGCCTTATGGACGTACTTTTTGAGGTGCTACTCACGATTACTCACAATTTCAGTTTTTTCCTCATTTTGCAAAAATTGCACACTTCGCAATGCGGAGCCACGATGTATGCATGCACACAATTGTTTTTTTTCGGGCGCTGTATTTGACCCCAATACCGGGTTTGGACGCAAATTGATGTGCAAAAGGGTTATATACGTATATTTTAAAGCATGATATAGCATGTTATAGCCTAGGATGTTTATAGCAACGTTCCTTTTTAGCCATAAGGCCTCAAAAGGTACATCAACAGGAGGTTTATAGCAACGTTTACATCATGAGGATTTTAAATGGACGTACTTTTTTGACCCACTTTCTACGGATTTTCATACGGATATACTTTTTGAGGTCCTGGACTTCCAGGGATAGTGATTGGAGTTTATAAACCAACTTAAAACTGGGGGGGGCACATTGTATAAATGGAGTTTGGAATGGAAAAGCGATCTGAGCAGTGTTCAAAACCCTCTGACGATTCCTGTCAACTCTCTTCCGCCAGAGCTTCCGCCATGCTTCCGCGGCTTGGGTTTTGGCTTCCGCGGTGAGATGTGCGATGGCTGGCACTTCCGCAGAGCTTCCACGACGATCCGTCTTCAGGGGTATGTTCTCTGCGCATTCCATCATGATTTTGAATATCCACAAGCGTTTCCGCGGAGCTTCCGGAAAGGGACTGAGCATACTTACTTCCGCGGTGCGGTGCTTCCGCGACTGCAGTTTCAGCTTCTGCGAAGGTATTGTAGTAGACGACTCTGACTAATTTAGTCTTGGGGGGTTTTGAACGCTGCTCATCTAGAATCTAGAAATTGTGGATATTCTATTGCCACGATTGATTATCGGAGGGTATGTTGATTGGTTTGATACATGTTGACTGAAACGGGAATTTCCAAGAACTTCCTGGTTCTGTGGATGACAGAGTGTGCTGTACCAAAACCACATTATGATTTTACCAGCAAGGGCGGCTCTTCTTGTTGGTTTGTGTGAAACGGGAATGCCCATAAGAAGGCAGTTTTAATGGAAACATATTAAAATCCCGGTCTCAAGGTCCCAAAGGTCCCAATCCTGGCGGAATGTATTATAGCGGAATGGAATTTCATTGAACTGCTATACCAGGAAATGATAGCTGATGATAGCATAGTATCCAGTAGATCCCAGTAGATCCCAGTATCGCACGACTCGAAAAAAACACGTGGCTTTCGGAATCACTGGGTCTACAGCAACCCCAAAAAAGATGCACAAAGCTAAGCTGGAAATTATAGGGAAAACATCATCGAAACCTTCCAGGGGCTTTCTATATGTATATATATATATATACAATTTTATATATAATTGAATATATATGAAAAGAAATACATATAAAGTACAATCCATGACATATATATACATATACTTATACATGCATACATGCATATATATATATATATATATGCTACCCCCCTCCTTTACCTACCTTTAGCCTTTATTCCACCAGATGAGTGCATTGTTTTGGTTTGACGAAGTCGAGATTTACAGAAGACGGAAGCGTACATGCATGGAGGATGGCATGGCCAGGAAGGTGAGCATTTTTTTCCTTGGTAATTATTCAAGCGAAGGCTGATAGAAGATGAACATGGAGTTTGGGGTTGATGAGGAAGATTTGCAGAAATGTGAAGTGAACCATGTGCTGCACTGATTTTCCCCTTGCTGACGATCTGCAGACGATTCGATCTATCTGGACATGAACCATTGGACCAAGGTGCCCGAATGGATCCAGCGATCCTTACCCCTTAGCCAGTACTCGTACTGGGCTGAGCGCAATTTCATGCGCAAATGCATGCTGCCGACGCGACAAGACTGGTTGATTGCTTTAAGAAACTTCCAACAGCGATCAATGATTTGTGTGCCCGACTTGACCTGGAGAACCTTTTTGGTACCAGGCAATCGATGGCGCTTGAGTTCCACATACTTGGGCGCAATCCACTTAATTAAACTTGCCACCTATTTTGACACGTTGCTTCTTGTGAACAACTCGGTCGTGAAGCACGCCAGGCACACGAGTGCAATAACTCTTCGCCGAATCAGTGTGCAATACCACACGGCGGTCCTGCGGCCACTTTTTCGCAAGGGGCTGCCACTCGACTTTCCGAATTGCACCGGGACCAGGTGCTCGAAGCTGGGCTAAGACTGGATGCAGGCGATGGAGTGCCAATGTGTTTGGTTTTCCTCTCTGGACTAAGCCGCACCACTGTTTCCATTGCATTTGCTTGTTGATCACCTTCTTGTCAAAAGTGGCATCGTCGGCTTCTACATCAGCCCATGCCTGGTCTGCACCAAAGCGGAACAATTTTTCCTGCTGCAATACCCAAGATTGGTGTAGTTGGCAACGTCGCTTCCCCATGTCTTCAGTGACTTTGTGGTTCACATGTAAAGCCGGTGAACAGCAGCATGGGGAACGCGATTCAAAAGGAGCAGGGGTAGAGCTGCCTGGGTTGCCAAAGGGGTGGCTCCGCCCTGGCTTTCAACAAAAAGAGGATGCCCATGATCTGTACGTTGATGTAGGTTTGGCACTTCTTGGCATTGCATCTGTGTTTCGGCAAATCACCGCCACGCTTCTCCGGCACTGCCTTGCTCAGGGTGCCCCGGTGACAACGAGGACATTGCTTTCCTTCCCACGAAGGTAAAAGACCATCAGCTCGAAGCATGGATATCAAGGAGGATGGATTGCTTTTCAAGATGTCAGCCACAGACCTTTTCCATTTGCCACGGTCCCCTCGAATGGTGAGAGCAGCGTCAGGATCACGTACATAAGGTGTTTGATGCCAAGCCCGGTTCTTCTTGGAAGCTGGTCTTTTCTCAATGGACCGCCTGAGCCCACGCTTGGGCACTCGAGGGTTGAATTTGGCCACCATGATGGAAAGCAGGCAGGTTACGTGCTCAATGCAAGCTGGATTCAATGAACTTCAAAGCTACAGATATGTAAGGAGGAACAAAAATACATTGGTTTCACCATGCACATGCCCATGTTAACTCCATGAACCTCACAGCTACAGACATGTAAGAAAGAACAAAAGCAGATTGGTTTCAGCATGCACATGCACATGGCACCTGACTGGAAAGTCATGTGTTTAGGCAATGTACGGAGGATGCTTAGTGCAGCAACTGTTTTCTTTTGCCCGAAACAGTAGTGAAATGTTGCGTACCTACTGTACTATACAACTCGCGGAAGTGCTTGCCTCACTTCTCCAATTGCTTTGCAGCCTCCTCATCTGCTTCGAAGTCACCCTCCTCCAACTCTGGGATCTCTGCTGGCTTTGCTGTTTCCTGGTTGACATCTTCCCGGGAACTTTTGGATTGGATCCTTTTGGTTGGCGGAGGATACTCGAACTTCCCAATTCTTTTCGGAACAGTGCCCGGGAGAGGATCTCGATACAGAGGAGCAGCTGAGCAAGGACTTGGTGACTCAGGAGACGATGGTAGCCAAGCTCGTTCAGGAATTGGTGTCCCCTGAAGTAGCATGTCTTCGATCTCGTCATTCACTTGACAGATCGACATAGTCTTGAATTTTGCTGAAGTGGCTAAACCTGCTCATGTTTTCTTCGATGTCCTGCTCTTTGCTCACACCGTCATCGAAGTCAGCAGGCTTGTCCATGGCACCGCTCTTGTACTTGCCATAGTAGACTTTGTGATGATCAGCCAGAACATCCTTTTGCAGGTCCTGAATCTGAATCCGGTGTATAGGCGCATCATCGTGTTGACCTGGAAGACGGATGTACAGAGCATGGGCGCCAAAGACAAACACAACAGTTCTTTTCAAGACTGCGCGAATGTCCGCTGGTTTGCCACTGGGAAAAGTGCGGCCGAGCAAGGTAAGAAGCTCTTCCATGGTGATGCAGCGGCGTTGGTCATCCTTATGCTCATCCTCTTCCTGCACATCATTTGTGGCATAGGCTCTGCAACAATTTTTGGCTAGCTTGATATCATTGTAGCGGCCATAGCAGGTTTGGTTCTCTTCAGCCGTGACAAAGGACTTCAAATCAGCAAGGTCGATCTTCTCCCGGTTGGGATCGTCCAGGAAGATGCCCTCATGGATTAGCCCGACCCGGTGTCTGAAGTTGTCTAATGACTTGGCTCGGCGCCAGCCAGGGCGACTGTTGAGGCCTAGGCGCCTGGCATGGTACCGGCCCATGGCCAGCATCATAATGATGATGGTGGGCGTCTTCCCTACTCCTGGCCAGCCGAGAAACATGAAGGCGAAGTTCATGAACAGCGGGTACAGAAGTGGAAGCAGCTTGGTGGCCAAAAAGGGCTTGAAGGAAAAGGTGTGCAAAGGAAAATCAGATTCCAACTGAGCGCCAGCCATTCCTTTTGCCTTGTTCTGGGCCATGATTTTCACCGTTGCTTCAGGCCAACCGGAGATTGGAGTACCTGCAGTCTTTAATGTTGCACAGGATCCAGTAGTATTGCTGTCTTCTGAATCACACTCTGGTGCATTGTCGTTGATGTATTGAATGCCCGCCCACAGCTCTTCATCAGCAGGTGCCCATTGAGACGACTGTGAGCGACGGACGCCCTTGCCATCCTTGCCCTCACTGGGTTTGAGAGCAAACCAAGCCACATGGAAGCCGGGTAGCCTGTCAATCAATCCGAAGACGGCCTTTTTGAGAGCCCATGGACCTGGTCGAAGGACAAGCGCGTAGGGAGTTCCAGCACAAAGGCCCAAATCCTCGTCCTTGGTAATCCGCGTTTCAAAGTGCAGAACTTTCAGGACATCGACTGTGCCATCCTGCCGGTTGTAAGCAACCAAGCCCAAGCGGCATCCAGTGGGCAACTGCCTCGTTGGCCTGATGCTGCAAGGCAGCTTCATCGGGGCTTTCTCCTTCATGCATTCGTCTATTTGGTTCAATGGAAACTCCATGGATCCATTGGTCCAAGGTGCTTTGACAGGAGCTTGATGGAATGAGCCTGGCCACCGGCAACGTTGGGGAAACGTGCCATGCCAATGTGGGTCTCAACAATCTCTAGAGCCTGGCTGGCCCCCTCCAAAACATCTAACACTACCACTAAGATTTCTGATTGTAGATGGAATACGCGTAACCCATGTACACTATCCTCCAGTAGCATTTGTAAGGTTTTACGTATCTATATATAGAATATATATCTATATATTACACACACACATATATATATATATATATATATATATCACATATAAAAACATCATCAACCCAAATGATATTTGTGAGACATGTTTTTCTTGAGGATCTTGTGACGTTACGATTGCAAGGTCTTACGTTTTACAGAGGATCTTGGCACCAATAGGTCATATAAGGTCCAAGGACTACCTAAGACTTGCACTAAGAGGCCCTAGGACCTCCCCAGAACCAAGGACCAAGAACCAAGATTTGTCAAAAAAGTCTTGGTGCAATCTTGGTTCTTGGTTCTTGGTTCTGGGAAGGTCCTAGGACTAAGAGGTCCTAGGACCTTCCCAAAACCAAGAACCAAGATTTCACGTAGTGGTGGTAGCATACGTATTGGTGGTAGCATATGCTTATCTTAGAACCATATATGCCAACCCCCACCTCCGTAATTACTTTCTTTATGGTTAAATATTAAAATTGTAAGATATGAAAGGGCTTTATGCAGACGATGTGCGGGCCATTTTGCTTCCCAGAAGATGTGAACACGTCGAGATGACTGTGCAAAATGCATCATATATATACATTATATATGTTTGTGTGTCACATTTCTCTAAATTAGTGAGAAAAGCATGCAAATACCAGTAAAAGTACAGAAAGGGTAGGTACAGGGGGGAGGGGCCACCATATATATATATTACATATATGAGAGATGATACGAGGGATGACTGCTCTCCCAAGACTCTTCTCCTCGAGAACACGTTGATAAGTTGGCGTCCACCAGGTGGCATTCATGCGCCAGTACCAGCTCAGCTGTTTGCCAACACGTGCCCTGCAGGATGGAAAAAAATCAGGGGAAATCATTGGATTCGAAATGGGAAATGGGATATGAACCGGAAAAATGCATAATAGTAGTTGGAAATAGGTATGTACACATGTAACCATCAACAATGGCGATTTTTCACCAACAAAAAACGCTGATATTGATATCATGAAACTGGTTGGTGGTTGACCTACCCCTCTGAAAAATGAAGGAGTTCGTCAGTTTGGGATGATTCTTCCCAATATATGGATAAATAAAATTCATGTTCCAAACCACCAACCAGTTATTAAAAGTGGTATACCCCTTTATTAAACTTACTATTAAACCGGCAATCCAACCAGTTGATATCATGAAATCTGTTCCCTCAAAAGTAGACACGGCTCGCTGGAAATCCCACATTGTTTGATAGGGATTTCCCACGAACATGTTTGAACAAACCAAAGAGTATGGGGAAATAATGAGAAAACCATCTTTAGGTGATGTCTGGTACCTTACAATCGCGGGAGCACCCTAACATGTCATGGTGATATCATATAAAAGTAAATACATTTACACATACACAGGACATATACTCATCATCAATGGCCACAGCGAGGTATGGATGAAATCGCTACGGACCTGATGAAAGCGTTGGTTGGCGGGATGTGACCATTGGTTGCCCAGGTTGCATCATTGTCCTCAAAAATGCTTAAAGGAGCTAAATGTAGGGAATGGATGGGTTGCTGGGGGTTGCTGGGGGTTGCTGGGATGATTATTGATAGTTATTGTGGATTATTCCCTCATTCCCGAAGCACAAGTAAGAATGTCATTGACTTGAGTAACTCTGAATTCCACAGCTGCAAATTCAAAGCCGATATATGCCAAGATCTGCAAATCAGTGTCAACACTCCAAAATTGCTGAACTCACTTTTAAAAATTGTCCTAAGTGGTGCCCCGTAAATCATTATGGTGTTTCTCTGTGCGCTATCACTTCAACCATAGCCCTGTTTTAGGTTCGACCGTCTCGTCCAGCCAAGCTTCGGCTTTTTCACTAGATGATCATAGAAGATCAAGAGCTTCCTCTCCAACCACCGATCATAGAACACGACGATGGAGATATACTGCCTTGAGAGGCTTTAGCAAAAGGTGGCCTGTTGACTAGCTCTTTGTGCACACAAATGTGTGGACATTGGAATCTACAGGTTCAATCCCATCCCACCAAAATTCAATGGAGAGTCGACTCAATGTTTTTCATGGAGGTTTCCTAAAGTGGGGCTAGCCTCAAATCATCGAAAGTTAAACCTATGCCCAGTTGTCAAGGCTTTGGATCTCGATATTTAGCTATCTTCAACCATGCTGGCGAGCCGTTGCTTGGATGCAACCGAGGCTTTCCCGTGTGTCATGGTGCCAAACGTCCGAAACAGTCGCAGAAATCAATCCGCAGCTTGTAACAAACATTCATTTCAGGTACTGCATATATGTTCCCAGCATCTTTCAAATGTCAAGTTTTAGAGAAAACCATGCTGCCGCCAGTTTTACCGTGAAATCGGGCTGTACAATTCCCGTGAGCCAAACTTGTCAGGACAGCAGATTTACTCCCACCCTTTAGAATATACGCCGGATTCCAAGCCGATGTATTTACAATTTCAATCAAACAAACTTAAACTCATCACTCAATTGAACCTTTTTCACTTCGAGAAACGACCTGTATCAAAAAAAACTCTGGTGGCAGTGAAGTTCATCCATGAAACCCAATGAACATCCACGAAGAATCTCCATCATCCATTCCAAGTTTAGCTGGAGACTTTAGAAGTCGCTTCGATGCAACGGACATCAACACCAAGGAACTGCAAAAACTCCTCAACATCGACGCCCTGCCATCATTCCACCGCCACAGAAGGGGATCTCCAAAAATGGTTATCTCACCAGAAATGACGCGTGATGATCAAACAACAAAGGATACAACATGATACAACTAGGAAGATATCATGCGGCTTATTCAGGGCGAATCTTAATCAGCAAACTGATACATGAGAATGGTAACAATAAACAATAGAAGAGAGTCTCTGAGTTTTAAGATCAAACTGCCACATCTTGGAATCTTCAATCATGTTGGTAAAAAAACATAAACTACCTATATAGTTTGATGGTTTCATTCCAACATTGGAGAGTCATGGGGGATGATGACAGATCCTATGGTTTTACTCACATGATCTTCAATTGCACTTGCCCTCTGGTAAACTAGAAAAACGAGAGATCCCGATGTTTAAGTTCGGTAGATCAACAAAGCAAATGGCCCATGTTCAACAGCTATGTTAGATCACCGGAGGGTAAATCTGTTAATCCGATGATGATCCTTGTCGAAACATATAAAAAACCATATGCCAAACCATTAATCTAAACTAGATATCTTCAGATATCTTCAGCCGCGCAGCTGAGTCTGCCTCGGTCAAAAGAGACATGCCGGCAAGATGGTCGCCATAGTCACACAGGATTAGGACATATCCATAGGCCAAATCTGGATGAACACCTCGGATGGGCGATGATGGAGGATGGAACCAGTTGCAGAAACATCATATGTCAGTACATATATGCACATGCCGAATATATATATATATATATAAATGTGTGTGTCTTTAAATAAAATAAACAAATATATTTTAAACAAATATATATATATATATAAATTATATTATTGAAATATACTATACAAATATATCTTAAATATAAAATGTACTATATATATTAAGCAAATAAATATATTATTATATCATAGATATTAAATTTAAAACTATATCTATATAAAATCTATGAAGAATAAAAATATTTTTGTTTAAAATTTTCATATATATATATATCTCACATGTCTTAAAAATATATATATATATATATCCTATATATATAAATATCTGTTGATATATATATATATATATCTGTTGATATATATATATATATCCTATATATATGTGATTTATATATATATATATACATTATTTATCAATATTATATTTATGTATGTGGCAACATTGGAGACCATCCGTACTTTCATGGTTTATACAAACCATTTCTGGTGATTTTAGGGAGATGGTAAACATCATTGTTTTACCAACATTACGTAAAGATCTAGTACCCCCTCCAAAAAGATAGAACAGGAAACACATAGTTTACGATTTTTTTTGGTAGGATTTTACTTGTTTATCTTGTCGGTGGTTGCTACAATGATTTTTGTTACATGGCTACAGGCATTCTTCCGAACAAGTGCTCATATCCAGCCTGGAACAGAACTTGGACTTTGGCATGAATATAGTTGTATACAAATATAAATATACATACTACTGCCGAGGCATCATCTCCACTATGTTTTCCATTGTGATTCATGATGTTGAGTTGTGCATAGTCGATCATGATATCATGATGATCATTCTCTATGGATCCCAAAACACTGAGTGAAAAGGTAATTAATCCCGTGAATCATACTACAGTAAGTACTTCCTAAGAAGGTACTTGGATGCATAGGGATTAAAAAAACGTTAATTCTCATTCATAATCCATTCATCCATCAACAATCCATGAACAATCAATTAAATCCCCTTAATATCCAACTAATAAATGATTTTGATTTGGCTCCTGTGCTGACAACTATCGCACTAGATCTTATAGGTGAGGTGTACATAGCTTTTTCCAAGGCATTTTCCGAGTCGCCTTCGACATCGGTATACACCAGGAATTCACATGACACCTTTGGGAGTTGGTGAATGTTTGCTACCTATCTTCAACCAGCTAAGTGGAAGATGTTCAGGAATTGCGCTTGCATTTTTACATCTCATGAAATCTCCCATGACATGGCAATTTGGAGACCCTGCATGTTTTTCTTAGCTGGTTGGCCGAAGGAAGTTTAGAAGTCAAACTTCCGACAATATGGACAGATGAAAAGCAGAGATGGGAAGAGTCAGAGAAGAGAAGAGAAGAGAAGAGAACAAGAGACGAGAAGAGAAGAGAACAAGAGACGAGAAGAGAAGAGAACAAGAGACGAGAAGAGAAGATAAGAGAAGAGAAGAGATGAGAAGAGAAGAGAAGAGAAGAGATGAGAAGCAGAAAGAAGATCAAAGAAGAGAAAGTCAGAAGAAAGAAGGTGCTGGTGCGCGAAAAGGTAGTTAGGAAAGTCGCGAAACACTGCATTTTTCCAATAATTTGTGGATCCGGAGGGTCGAAAAGTAGTGCCCAAATGAGAGATGAAATTGTGGGGCAAAGCACATTCCGAAGTCAAAATGTGCAAAGCACCTCAGCTTCGGAGCACTTTTAAAAGTTGAGATGTTGAACAAGTGCACGCCGTTTTGGCGCGGAGCACTTTTTTTGGCGTTCAATGTCGTTTTGCTTGGCAAGCGCACGGGATTCTGCACGTTGCCAAGAGTGAGCAAACGCGAAGGTTTTGTAGAATTTTCAACTACAACCACCACTATGCTACACTACACTCCACTACACTACAACTACAGCTACAACTACACCTACACTGCCTTCCACTACACTACATTACATTACACTACACCACATTACACTACACCCAATTACACTACAACTACAACTACAACTACAACTACAACTACAACTACGCTACAACTACACTACGCTAATTACATTACACTACACTACACTAGAAAACACTACACCACACCACACTACACCACACTACACCACACTACACTCAACTACACTACAGAACACTACACTACCCTACATTACATTACATTACGTTACTTACGTTACATTACATTACATTACATTACACTACATTACTTACACCACCACACATGCCCCTGCAACTACACTACACTAACTACACTACAACACACCTACAACTCCACTACACAATAGCTACAACTACAGCTGCACTACACCACACTACATCCAGCAGTTGTGAGTGAGGTGACCGACCAGGTGACCACTGCAACCACTACAACCACTGCAACCACTCCAAAAACCACAGCTCCAACCACGTTTTGGTCCATCAGTGGATTCGCTCTGCCATCCGTGATTCACAACAACCGACCTCTCCTATAGCTTGCCTATTTTTGAAACTTCCGCCACCGCCTTGTGCGGTACTACTGGTATATGATTATGTCAATTAATACACACATATCCCTATCTACGGCCAGCCATGAAACCAACAAAGCACACTTACTCGACCAAATATACGCGGATATCATCCAGGTACCAACCATCAACAAATATGACAATTAAATCAAAACTCATTATATAATCTACCATGTTTGTTTAAAAACTGACCATTTCCATAGCATCATAGCTATGTGCCATATTGTGCCATGGCCAAAGGATGGTTTTTGGTGGGTAACGTCATCCATCCCATGGGCATCCAGTCCCTACTAAGAGACTAATGACCATCCCCATTATCAGTCTGGGTAAATTATAATATTTCACTAAGGAAGGTACTTGGATCCATAGGGATATATATATATATAGATGTATATATGGAATGTGGGCTTTATATCTGGGTAATTAATATTTTTCACTAACCTGAATGGTTCGGCCATTTGGTGATAATTTCCCTTACTAACCATGATTTCCAGTGAGGGAGAACAGTGAGGTCGTGATCAAATTTACCCAGATCAGTATATCATGCAACTTTTGACCATGGCACATGTAAAACCCCATCAACAATATCCATCTATCTATCGCTCTATCGATCTATCTATCTGCCTATCTATCAATCTAATCCTATCTAAACCTGTCTCATCCCATCTAATCCCATCTCATCCTATCTAATCCTATCTAATCAAATCTAAACCTGTCTAATCCTATCAAATCATATCTAATCCTATCTAAACCTGTCTAATCCTATCAAATCATATCTAATCCTATCTAAACCTGTCTAATCCTATCAAATCATATCTAATCCTATCTAGTCCTATCTAAACCTATCAAATCATATCTAAACCTGTCTAATTCTATCAAATCACATCTAATCCTGTCTAAACCTGTCTAATCCTATCAAATCATATCTAGTCCTATCTATTCCTATCTAATCCTATCAAATCATATCAAATCATATCTAATCCTATCTAAACCTGTCTAATCCTATCAAATCATATCTAATCCTATCTAGTCCTATCTATTCCTATCTAATCCTATCTAATCATATCTAAACCTGTCTAATCCTATCAAATCATATCCAATCCTATCTAAACCTGTCTAATCCTACCAAACCATATCTAATCCTATCTAGTCCTATCTATTCCTATCTAATCCTATCAAATCATATCTAATCCTATCTAACCCTGTCTAATCCTATCAAATCATATCTAATCCTTTCACATCCTATCAAATCATATCTAATCCTATCTAAACCTGCCTAATCCTATCAAATCATATCTAAACCTGTCTAATCCTATCAAATCATATCTAATCCTATCTAGTCCTATCTTTTCCTATCTAATCCTATCTAATCCTATCTAAATCTGTCTAATCCTATCTAATCATATCTAATCCTGTCTAATCCTGTTTAATCCTGCCTAATCCTATCTAATCATATCTAATCCTGTCTAGTCCTATTTAATCCTATCTATTCCTATCTAATCCTATCTAATCCTATCTCAACCTATCTAATCCTATCTAATCCTATATAATCATATCTAATTCTATCTAATCCTATCTATTCCTATCTAATCCTATCTATTCCTATCTAATCCTATCCATCGATCTATCGATCTGTCTATCTATCTATCTATCTATAGTATAGATACACATACCATACCAGCTTATTCCACCATTTTTCCTGGTGAACTCTCCATGTCCACAGCAAAGGAGCTTGCAGAAAATTCCATGGAATGATGTCGCACCACCGATGGCTCATCTGTACAGTCCACGTGGCTCAACAGTCCGAAGGGCTGAACGAACTTGCACCATCCGCTCCGCAAATACCAAAGATTGTAGAGACTGTACCTATATTGCTTGATCAGTGGTTTGTGTTGGTAAATGATGGTAGCGAGATGGATACCAACATAATCTATATGTAGAATATGTATATATCTATATATTAACATATATATATATAATTACATATAATATAATATAATATAATAAAATATAATATAATATAATATATATACATATATATATATACATATATACATCGCCTTGTAACTAACACCGGAAAATCCTTATGCTACGACGGATCTTTTTTCAAACAAGTTGGGATCCATGGCATATCCCCCAGTCATAAGCCGACTTTTGAGTACAGATTTCGACGATATCCCCATGAATATCCCATGAAAGCCCCCACTATCTGATTGTTAAATCCAGCACTTGACAGTGGCACAACCTCACAAGATCCCAGCGCTTTTCAGTATCATCCCTGTCAACAAAAAATACGTGTGAACAACGGGTACGCCATATATATAGAGAGCTTTAGCATGCTTTAGCCACATGACTCTGTGATTCTTGGGGTAAATGTTGGTAAATTTAAAGTATACCAGTACCATACTTTTCGCATATGGGATATGTCACACATTTCTGAGAAAAAAACAACTAAAATCCAAACAGCTACACAGGCTTCCCAGAGATCGCTTCCATCATCAGAGTAACCTCAACTGGCAAGCTGCACTTCGCGGCAAGGCGAAATATCTAATGGACGTTGCAAGCGCTACAAATGGTCCCTAGAAACCATATACATGGTAGTTGTCATTCGGCGGAATCGCTCACTCTTATGTACAGTGCACAGATATTAACACAACTTAATGCAAGAGGTGACACTACTTTTGAGGCAAGGCTTCGTTTCATGCGTCAGGGTGACTTGTGCCTATCCCAAAATGGATCAACATAGACATCAACAAGCTGGTGCCGATGGTGATCTAGGTTGGTTTATACAGTTTATACCAAGATTAAGATGATTAAGCATGGTGCATGGTGATGATGGTAACTATTCTAACCTTAGTTCGATGGCTAGATTGGCTAGTAAGCCAACTCATAAGTGCGAAGGTTTCGTGTCTATATAATACATGGTCGCATGGCCACACGGTCACTTGGTTCCCTTGCTCCGGCAGTCCAATTCAAAGCTTCTGTCTGGTACCCTTCACCTGGTAGTTCATGCTGCACGATATCTATGGTTTTTAACCCATCACAGACTCTTTATTGCCAAGAAACAGTCCTTGACCCTGAATAAGGGTAGGCCATGAGCACTGTGACATTCGTATAGGAAACCGCTCTGGAAATGTCCAAGGACTTGTGCAAGTTCAAAGTAAAGTTACTGAATTGATAGTCCTGACCTCTCGCCGAACCTAGGCGTTTTTTGCGTCCCAAGAATCACAATAAGGCCGCGTATCTTGGCGATTTGGTACCATCAATTTTTGACACAGACCCCAGTGTCGCCCTAACCTTCCAGGCAAACCTCTGAGATAGGTAGCCTGGGTGATTTTACCTGATGATTTTGGGCTTGAAAATACCTATCTGATAAGTAACGAAGCCAGGTGACGGTCCTGACATTTAAGAACAACACACAGTAACGATTTTCGCAATGCCGACCATGGTTATTGATCATCCTTGGGCTTGGTAGTTGTTTGACACGTCCAGGTCCCAATAAATTCTGAAGGATAACGCTTGTCCATCAACTGACGGTTTTAGCCTCCCATTACATTCCGCTACCCAGTGAGATTAATGGAATACCCCCAGTTACAATCAGTTTTTGCAGACATGGTTTCTTCACGTTCTTCCCGCCAAGTCACCATTTATATATATATATATTTCATATTCATAGATATGACTTTCATTTTCTGTGTTGGATTTGACCCACCTCCATTGTGGTGTCCCAAAAACTGTTGGGTTTATGGTAGATATATCGGACATACTATGGCAACTATGGGTAAACCATCAAACAAGACTGGGGCACCACCTTGTAGGGTTATTCATTGGATTGGTTCAAGGGAACATCTTAATCGGAAACCATGGTTTTTACTGTTACAAAAAATAATAAATATCGGGGTCTTTCTGTAAATTGTCCCTTAAACCAATCCAATGAGTTGTAGTTTCCCATATCTTCCCCGCTTTTGCCACCAGGCCGCGACGGTACTCAACGGCCGACAGTCTTCCAAGCGCTGGGCCCAGCGATGCGGAAGCTCTGGACGACAACGCGCAGGAGGGACAGCCCCAGATGTGGGCAGCGTTGAGGGACCAGTTGCCCAGGTAAGGACGGTGGAGCAGATCACGAAGTTTCCACCTGACTCTGATAGTTGTTGGATGTTTCTGGGTGACCGTTTTGTTTGGGGAAAAATCTTCTTCTTTGGAGGGTTTTTTCCTAATATGGAGGTTTTTTTTACCAATGTCTCCTGACGACTCTGATGACTGTTATTTCTTGGGAACATCTTGGCCGGAAACCATGTTGTTTCCCATGAAATAGGAAGTTGCTTTCCCGTTTTGAACTGTTTCCTGACGTCAAGTTTATTGGTGAGTTGCTTGGTCTCCTGTTAACAAAAAACCTGAGGGTGTTGGGCCTCAACGCTTCAAGTCAAGAGTTCTTTCTTGTCAGATGCCGTCAAAGAAAATATGGAGATATCAGCTGCAACAGTGATTTATTTAACATATTAAAACAAGATTAAACAAACATGTTATAGACTATTTTCCCATGATTTCCTCAAACCCCTTTTTTCGTTTGGGGATTTCCAAGTCGCCACGCTTTGAACACCGGAGGCTAGTGGGGATCTGCCAAGTCGCCTGTCTTGCCTCGAATCCGGACATAGGTAGCGGGATGGTAGGGGGCCCCATCTTCAACCCCCTTTTTTGTTCAGACGTTGTCGTTTCACCTGAAGGGGTACAGGATGGTGCCCCTGTTTGATAGCATTCAGTTGCCTCCTAAGTGGCTGAATTCTATGGTTTACGGTAGATATAACTATAGTTAATGGGGGTTATAATGGTTTATAAACCAACTTATAATTGGGGGGCCCCATCCTGTATTCCTAAAGAGCCTTTGTTCAATTCTTAAAAAAAACCTGAATGATTGCCGAAATGCAGCTATGTTTTTTGTCTCTGCTGATGAATTCAATCGCAAAAATGCTAAAGAACATATACAATAATGTATGTATATATATATATATTAATGCAATTTTCTATATAGTTGTATATGTATTACAACCATTAGATTTGAATTGTCCCCATCAGGCTGACTGAGATTACAGTAGAGGTTCTTTTAGTGAATACAGTCTGTGTTTGGGTTTGCTGTGAACAAGTCGGTCAGCTCTTGAATTCTGGCACCAACACATTGACAGGCACATACTGATCATACTGGCAGACAAAATGGTCTGAGCGGCCGCAGCGGCCAGGTTCATCAAAAGAAATCAAGGTCAGGTTCTATCATTTAGGCCCACGATTGAGGGCTCTCGAAAAATATGAAGCATCACTAACGGGCGTTTGGAGTTTCTAAGTATTCTCCAGAAATTACATGGACATATATTTCACCTTTAGGTAGTCTCACAGTGTGTAGAAACTGGCATAAAATTAAAAACTGTAGAAACTGAGTTCGGCGAGGTGCAAGTGATACACTGTCCAACCTCGGCTAGGCGATTAGTGGGCTTAGAACCCCACAAAAAAAAAAAAACAAGGAAAATTAGTGCAACAAAGGGGAAATGTAATGGTGATTTTGGTTTACAACCCAATCCCATTATGGAATATCCGCCGACCCCGGCCTTTGCCAAGGCAGGGGCGGCGCCTGGGACCACCGGAGGTGTGGAACTTGGCTCTCGGGTCGCAAGCAAAGGCACACGCCATTCAGGCAACACCTCTGCCAGCTACATGCCCCAGCCATCTACATGCTCCTGCCGAACTCTTACACCTACATGCCCCTGCCATCTGTTTTTCAGGGGGTTCAAGACTGCCGTTTGCCCGGCCTCAAACCCCCCAAACGCTTCCGCAGGCCTCAAGGGAAACAACTCTACAAGCTACGAC